GGTGGGGGGTCTTAGTGTCCTCCCCCAGAAATTTTTGAATGAATTAGACACCATTTCCTGCATTCTGGTGTATTTTAACAGGTTGTTAAACAGACTTTTACACAAGTAAACACTTGGTGAGTATTCTATAAGTCAAGTGGAAGGGCCTTTCAAACATTTTGGGTCTGGGGAAACCTTACAAGAGTGAAAAATTCCAGGGACCCCCTCATAAAAGCCATGCTGTTTTAAAAATAATTTACTGTCATTTTAATCCCTGAATTCCATGGGAATAGAAGAGAGGAGTCATTTGCAGCTGGGGCTGCTGCGTGAGGCTTCAGAAGTAGACTGGAACAAGTAACTGAGTATTTATTCATTTATTTCTTAAAACCAACAAAGACCATTAAAAACACAAAGTAAATCAATTATTGAATAATAAAGGTGCAAAAAGAAGAAGAAAAATTTCGTATATCTGCCACTGTTAAAAAAACAACTTCCTCCAAGCACTAACATCATGTGAGGTCTTTGTTATAAATACTGACCTGCAGCCCTGCTTTAAAAATGGACAGGTTATCCCTTCATTTAACATGGTTCTGACACTGATCCAGCTGTTTGCAGGTGATGTGCTGCACGTGCAGCGTATCCTTGTAAGAACAGAGTTATTTTTTAAACTGATAAAAACATAATTCGTGCACACAACAGATGGAAAGGATCGGTCTGAGCTGCAGAGCTGCCAACTTTAAAAAAAATCTAAGAGTGGGACTGGGGGTGGGACGGGACTCGGGGTGGTGGTGGGCAGCTCAGAGGTAGGGTTTGGGGGTGTAGGATAGTTTCACCTTTTCCTGCATCCTGTTGGCTCCATCCTACACTAGAAACTGACTGTAAAAACTACTTTATAGACCTGTCAGATTTAAAGGTTGAATAATGTCCGTTTTAAACTTCTTCTTGATCAGATGTTGTGTTTAGAGTAACTATTGAATTCTATGAAAAACATTTTATGATTTATGTTCAGTCAAAAATGTCATGAGGTAAGTCAGACATTTTTCACTGAAGGTCAGGAGAGTCTGAGGTTTAAATTCATCCTGAGAGCTTGTAGAGGGTCTTTACTCTGATCGCACCACGGATGCAAGTGCAACCATCATTTTAACATGAATACTTGATTTTTAACACAATTACTTGATTTGCAGTATAAAAACACAGTTTTTCTATAATGAAACCCAGTGTGTGTGTACCACCTATGTGTTCAGTGATACAAATCAAAACAAATCAGTTTATAAAAGCTTATTAAACAAGAAGCTTTTCATAAAAATCAAAGCCAACAAAAACCAACCTCCAAAGTAGCTGGCACTGTTTTTTGTGGGTCCTGCTCCCTCTCCTCCTCTTCCTCGTTCTCCTTCTCTACTTTTACATCTCCTCCTCTTCTTCACTTCAATGA